TATAAAATAAGAAACAAAATTGTTTCACATTACAACTTGTAAATTAGGGGATCCTAAAATAGTAAAAGCTTATGCAAATAGAATTTGGGGTTGTTAGAGATATGGATATGTCTTAAGCATCAAGGTTGAAATATTGGACTAAAGAAATATAATTAGTTTGTGGAATCATGAGGAATCAAAGTCCATTTTGCACTTTTCATCGATGGGGAAGAAATTTTGGTTCAAGGTGGTTGCATAGCACCTACCACTAAGCATTTGAGTTTGTTTTAATTCATCTGTGTTAGTGAAACTTTGGTCCAAAACGGTCATATCCGTTTGGAAGAATCATTGTTTGATACTGTCATATAGAAATGGGCCATGAAATGAAAACTTCACCTATGATATTTACCGATTCACTATAGAAAATTTGGCATAACCAATTGTAGGTTTCGAACTTTGGATTTTTTTTGAGAAATTATTCTCTAATTACCACTAATCTAAATGAGTTGATATATTCATCCCAAAATTTTCATAATTTCTATCAAAATCAACCGATATTGATATTTTCACTTGTATCGATATTTTAAACATTAATTATAACTAACGAATAAATTAGTTATACTACATGACAAAATCGAAGTACTGCTTATTTACCTTTATTCTTCACAAAGCACACAGGGGTTGTTTTGTGCATTATTTTCCAACTAATATGTTCCTTCCATCATCTTAGTGTAGTGTGTGTTCTGTAGATGACCTCAGCCCTCAGCCCTCAAGACAACCTTTTTCTTATGGGGAAATAAAAGCTCGAGTCAGCTTTGCATTGCATTCGCATCAACTCGAATCAAGAAGCACTTGAGAGGAGTATCAATTGCTTTATGTAAATAGAATTATGAACTCATATGGAAACACCAAATCTTTCAAAACCAAACATTCATTATTGCACACTCTAACCCTTTAGGCAACTTGGATTGGCTTGTCACTATATCATATCACAAACCTCTATCACTTTTGAGTAGCGATTTTGGTACTTGTTTTATCTTCTGTCAATCCAAATCGAGTAACCTGTAATATTTATAGAATTCACAATACTATTGATGCATATGTGAGTCAGGTGAATTAGTCGTTACAATATGCTTACCTACCAAGCTCTCACCCAAATTTGAATCTCCTCCCCTTAAATCAGAGTCTAAATATACGAGAAGCTAAATTATTTTGGTATACCCGGCCAACTTGGAAAGACTTAATATACAAATTACCAGGCTCATTGTTTTTCTGAACCTGCGGGCAATAAGTACCCATTAATTAAATCGATGTGTAAGTGTAACCATTTTATGGCATCAAACATTATTTGTTTGGTGTGATAGAGGAGCTGACTCATTTATTCCGATAGAGAAATGTTTATATGAAATGGAAGAATTAGGAGTGGGGTTGGTCATGGCTATTTTTTCCATTTTAACCGCTGCATAGAGGATGGAAATGTATTACCCAACATGAACAATTGAGGGTAGCTAGGGTTCCTCGTGTTTCTGATTTTTATTTGTTTTTGGGTGGACATCTTTATCATGCCTTTTCTGATACTACAATGTGGATGATTTTCATATATTAAAAAGTCTCTTCCACTTTCCTATCAAATCTCTCTTTATTCTAGCACATAAATGAAGGATCAAAGAGATTATGGTAGATCGCATTCACCAAGAAATGACCTTAATCGAAAATCGGATCGGCAACAAATAACCTGCTTTATCTGGATTCAACTCGTACTCATAGTTAAGCAGCAACATGAATATGAGACTAAAGTCCCTCCATGCATCCTAATACTAGCAGCCCCTTCTTAAAAGAGATTTGAGCAGCCGTCTGAAAAGACTATTGCTGCGCAAAAGAATATGTTTAAAAAGAAGAAAAATCACAAAGTGAGTGCAGAAGGATCTGGAAAATATAGAGTGGTCCTGCAATCGAATGAACGTCTAGGCGCGGAACTGTGCTCAAAAAACCCAAGTAGAGAGTAATTTTGTTTATAAGTTGGACCAGAGCAAATCATAACAATTTTCTGAATTTCCGACTCCTTTCACCCTCGAGTTTGAACCTTCTTCTCTAGTAGATGGGCTTATGTTCATGGTCAAAATTGTAGACTACAAAGTAATAAGCCCAGCCACAAGAAAGGCCAACATGGCTCAATTAATTGAAGAAGATAATTTGATTTGTTGTGTCACTCTCAAATCTCTCAATCAGTTGCTTTGATGGAGATCGGCTACGATTTATAAATTGATTGGATGTTACACATAACTGAAATCACAGGAACAATATGCACATAAGGTCTGCCACTTGTTGTCCAGTTTCGAGAGGAAACAAAACTAGAATGCAAAGATGATGATATTTCAAAACCAATCACATATAAAAATCTCAAAATACGTGACATTGTATTAATCATCTAGGATGCCATGAATACCTAGGCGTACAAATGCGTGTAGGTGAGTCCTCCATTTTCGGAGGCCACAAGATTCGACAGTTCCACCACTCTATATCACTTTAAGGTTTAAATGTCAAAATGGTCCCTGTGTTATAATCATATGGCCAATTTAGTCCCTGTGTTTTCGATTTGGCTAATTTAGTCCTCGTGTTTGTCATTGTTAGCCAATTAAGGACATTTAATTCAATCTCTTTTAAAAAAACCCATAAGAAAAATTATATGAGATACAATTACCCTTTCTCTTTACAGAAAAATGCAAATCAATGAGAAATTACACATATAAGAGATAAAGCTTCCAATATGAAAAATGATTAAGGTTGTGACATAGAAAAGAGAGGGGTAATGTTAGGGAGAAGGTCGGGGAGTTAGGAAGAGAATAATTTTTTTTTTAATTTTTTTTCATTTTAAAATAATTTTATAAATAAGTTTGTAATAATTTATAAATTTTTTACAGAAATTGAATGGAAATGTCCTTAATTGACTAACGAAGATAAACACAATGATCAAATTGGCCAAATTGAAAACACAAGAATTAAATTGACCCAATAACTAAAACACAGGGACCATTTTAACATTTAAGCCTAACTTTAAACAGCGGCTAGGGTTAGAATGAGGATGCGATGGGAAGCTAATGCGCACATTGAGAATGAGAAGTTTTTTTATATGACAATTATACGGCCACATGGTGTTATTAATTTACATGAAATAAACGTTATGTATATATACAGGCTCTTTATGTAAAGGGATCCCCATTTTAAAAAAAAATGGGGATTAAGTGTGGGGCTCACTCCACATCGAACTTCAACGATCCGAACGTCTATTTTGTAAGTCTCTATTCATATATCATCCTTGCAAAAATTCAATTCAATCTGAAACCATTTGCCTATTTAATTATCAAGATAAAATTTTATTGTTTTTTATATAACAAAGTATTCATTAATTTTTTGGACCCAATTAGGTGTCTTAAACATTTCCGATTAGCTAATATTTTGCAAGGATGATGTATACGGTGCAACTTGAAAAATAGACGATTCGGATCGTTAAAGTTTGATGTGGTGTGAACCCCACAACTAATCTCCATTTTTATTAAAAAAAATAAATAAATAAATAAAATCTCTTCCTTTAAAGATTTCCTATATATATACATATTCCATGCCACCGACGATCAAGGAGACGGGAGACTGGAAATTTCCTGGCCTGTGATCATATCCCCTCCCGCACATAGCGGCAGGTTTAGCTCATCTCTTGGACCACCTCAATTTCTATTTTCTACGTTACCACTTTACGCTGCTTATTCACTCATCACTGATTCAGAGCCTCAGAGAGCTGCTCAATACCGCACGCGCGCGTCCTCTGCTATCTGCTATGCTGACATTGAAGAATCTGATTACACGACACCACGCCACTTGTTCATGCATGAATGTTGAAAGCCTTCATTTTAATCATCCAACTCCACACACTCTTTTGGAGTTGGAATTGGAATTGTTAATGTATGCATGCACACAGAATTTATCAAAATTAACCACATCGTTATAATTTCTAAAACTTGGACCAAAATAAATACCATCTAGTTCTAATCGATTGGATTTTTATGTTTTAGTTATACTCCGTTGCAGCTAGCTGCACTTGCAAACACAATAACAACGATATCAACTATAACAGGATTAATCCGCAACCTAACGTAAGATAACTTCTTTATACGTCCTTAGGGTAACTTTACTCACGGGTGCTTTCTAGGGTTTTTAAAGGGAAATTATGTTCGACAGAAAGCAACTGCCATCACCAAACAAAAAGAGGGGGCCACTGGTCACTGCGTTACTTGATTAGTAGTTAATTAACTAGTGTACGTTCCTCTCTGAATCTCAAACCGAATTTGTAAAACTGCTATTCATGAAAAAGCTAGGCCGGTAGGTATACATAAATTAATCATGTCCAGCTTTAGAATATGAGGCGGCAATTAATTAACAATTCTGGTAAATGGCGCAGGGGTAAGGGAATTGGCACTTTAATTAACACCAGTCGGCCGGTAAGGAAGCTTTACGTACGTAATTGCCGGAAAAAGACGAAACAAAGGTGAAAAGGAAGAGTGAAAAAAGCAATGTCGGCCAAGCAACGCATACGCAAACTCAGCCGACAACTATACAACTAGGGCAATTCACATATCTCCTGGAAAAACAATATGTTTCAAGGATCATACAAATTTAGTTTGGCGATTAATTCTGGGTTTTGAAGCTGACGATTACTTTACAAAACCTACCGAAATGATTACAATACGATCGATGCATGGTACACACACACACACACACACACACACATATATATACACACACACACACACACACATATGTTATTTGTTGAATAAATGCTTTATTTATATTATAAAATAATACAAATTAAAGTCCGTAAAACCAACCAAATCCAATGTGATCAGTATTAAGAACTAAAACTGCATACTAAAACGATACGATGTCTGAAAAAATATCACGTGAAATAAAACAAAAAGTGGAGTCTTCAAAAGTTCTGTCTGAATAAATATGGTAATCAAATCTCAGTGTTGAGTTAATCAACTTTCGCAATTAACGTTGCGAATAAATATATGATATTCTTGGGATAATTTGTTCGATTATATATGTACAAAAAATGAAAGATTCTGTTCATGAGGTACAATCCATTAATTTACATACAAAGCTTAATATATACTAGCTAGATCAGAAGCTGAAGAAAATGCAGCTGCTAAGCCTACCCGTATGCATGCATGGCCTGTAGAGACGACGACGTTGGCCAAGCTAATTTAACAATATTGATCCTACAGCCCTACCTACACAACAAAGATTTAGTTTAATTAAGTACGTATTATCTGCTAAACCATGATTAACAGCACTGAAAATGAAATTTGCGTATCTCATGGATTATTACACACTAAAGGGTTTTGCGTTTTTTACTGCAGCCATTATGAATGAGAACGTACGGCATCAATTTGTATGCGTTTCTTCTTTTGTAGGCTTTTTCCCTCTTACTTTTTAAAATGTTCTGGTCAATCCCAAAATTCTCAATTGATGCATATTTTGATCTATTTATATATATATATGAATGCACGAGTCTTAGCGCATACCACCTCCTGAGAGTAATATAGCCACCCCATTCATATATATATATATATATATGAATGCACGAGTCTTAGCGCATACCACCTCCTGAGAGTAATATAGCCACCCCATTTGTTAACCAAGTCAAGTTTTGGAAGCTCAAAAAGGCAAAAAAAGAAAAAAGAAAAAAAAAGAATTTTTTTTTTTTAATTTTTGTTGGTTTGCTACCACCCTTGAGGAGTGGGGTGTCCTACTAACCCGAGTAGCATATGACGTGCTTAATGCAACCTCGCACCCCATCTTTACCCACCCAACTCAAGCTCTACCACTACCAATCACTTTAATGCGCTGCATAGTTACAAATCTAAGTTACCAGGCTCAGTAGTAGTTTTCAATTTTTGGAAAACTAAAAATAGTTACCAACAAGTTTTTAGTTAAAAAAATATAAAAATAAAAACTGAAATGAATTGGTTATCAAACCACCCTTTATTTTCAGTTTTCAAACTCTTATTAGTACACACCAAAAAATAACCATTTAATAACCATTTTAGTTTTTTTTTTTTTTTTTTTTAAATCCCCCAATGTATGAAAACTCAAAAAATAGCTTTAAATTTATCTTATTTTATTTTTAATTGAAAACATTTACCAAATAAGTTTATAGTCTTTATAAACTAAAATTAAAAATAAAATGATTATTAAATGGTCAGTTAAATTTTCAACTCACATAACAAAAAATGTTGAGTTTCGCCCCACAAGATTGTAATAACGTCGGAGGTTTCCGAGAGTATAACAGTTTAACATTTGAATGATCAGATATGTATTGCAAATATGGAGATGAAAATAATCAATCCAAACGCCCTTTAAGGGAAAAAAAATTGAATTATCATGTTATGGAGCTTCCTTTAACTTGTTTTAGCTGAATGAGGAGACAGCTGAAAAGAAGATGTGTAGGCATAATAATTAAAGTTGGCATGCTTCTAATCAAAAGATAAGATATAGTCAACAACCTAGCACTAGATCCCAAGCGTAGCAGATAAGTTTGTAGCCAATGAGAACTACATGATGTTGATAGTGGTGGTGCATCAAAAGCCACAAGCACATAATTAGATGCACAAAACTATGAACGAGGATCCTCTTCGGATCCTCTTTGTGTCCGTTTATCGTAAATCGTACGATTAATATTCCTCATGTAATATTTGTATTCAATTTTAAATGCATAAATTTACAATGATTTCTGACTACACGATGTACGATGAACGGACGTAATTGAAGGAGCCCCTGGATCCTCACAAATAGGATCTGGAGAGGATCCTCATTCCAAAACTATATACTAGTCATAGGAAAGGGATCATCTCCGAATCTCTTTCACTAAATCCTCTCAATCAATCAATCCGGACCCTTGAAATTTGATCAAACAGCTACAAATAAGGGCCTCTTTAAAAGTTATAATAACTGTAGCCGTTTGATCAAATTTTAAGAGCCCAGATTGATTGATTGAGAGGATTAGGTGGAAATGATCCAAAGAGGATCCCCTTCCCTAGTCATATAGATTAAGAACAAGGAGATAGAATTAAAAAGAATATTTGGATTCCATTCGGATTCAAGTTGTGGGGATTCTAGGGATCCTCACATTCTAACCGTTTATTTAAAATTATTTATTTAAAATTAAACACAAATAGTACCTAACGAAAACCGTCCACATGATGTACTATGAACTATCATGATACGAGGATTCCTAAGATCCTCACAAAGAGGATCCGGAGTGGATCCTCATCCTTAAAAAGCTACATTCTTCCATTCAAGCGCCTAAAGTAACATGCATCTCAAGAAATCAAAATTACTATATAATTAAGTTGCTATAATTCTTCATCATCCTTTTAACTTTTAGGGTGTTCAAACCAACAGTACTATTGCCTATATTCTGGTGATTAATATATATATATATATATATATCTGAAAGTGTTCAAGCTAGGTGATTGTTAAGAAGGAAGTACAGACGTTATGAACTTTTATCGTAAGAGCAACTTCTACGAGTACACTGCTACTATAACGTGTTATGTCATGAAAATCATTCTTCTTAGGCATTATAAATTAGAAAGATCTTTATATGCATTCAACAGTTAAATAATTCAAGTGGAATATTGGTGTGTATTGTTACCATTTTATCCGTGTCCTCATCAATTTCGCATCCCAGGAGGTACAATGTCTCCAAGAAGCCCTTCGTCTGTAGGAAGAGGTGGGGTTAGCTGAGGGTCAGTGGAGTGGGATGATCCTCCTGCAGCTTGATCATCGTCATGACGTGGGACTACTACTTGGTGCGACGAGGTTGGGGTCAAATTAATAGGACTAGTTATCTCTCTGGGTCGAATTGTTGGATAATACATGAACTGTGAGGCTGGAGGCAGCTGAGCCAACTGGTGGCCTGCAAAGCCAGATTCATGACCAATGACTCCCCCACGAGGGAATGCAACTGTATGATGACAGTGTTGGCCTTCATATGTGGTAATTACAGTTGTGGGATCTTGAGAGGAACGCTCAACTCTTTTCTTCACCGTGCATTTGGTATTTGTGCAGCGATAATAGCTCCTGCAAATTAAACAAAAGATTGAGTGTAAGAATGTGCATATAAAAACTACAAGGCATGCATGTACATACATTTGCTGTTCGAATATTCTCTTGTTTCAATAATTCAATTTGAAGTTGTTTGAGCCCATATTTGTAAATTTCGTCAGCTAGAAGAAATTAGTCGTTTAATATTCAAGTATTCTCTGTCGTTAGATAATGGAATGCCACGCTCGTAAATTATACAATCTCTAGACGTATTCCTGAGGCTTGGAGACTTAGGGTAAACATAAATAAAGTTATCAGTTATAAGAAATTAAGAAAAATGTTTCCATGTTTACAGATGACAAGGATTTAACAATCTCAAAATCAAATATATAGCAAGTACCATAAGAAAATTGTTGTTTAATCAAATCAACCAACATTTTTAGTTTGAATTCAGCACTGAAAAGAATGTCAAGTTCCTCGCCAGCTAATTTAGTGGAGATAGTAATTTAGTGACAGACCTTGGAAGCCAGGCTTGCCTAGCAGCTGCACGTAGTATCTTCAGCTTAACTAGTGTGTGTATATATATTAAGCTTTGTATGTAAATGGTGCATTCCTCATGAATCAGATTCTACAGATGAGGTCTAGCTAACATCCTAGTGGATAGGATGTTGGGTTTCTATTTATGCGATGAGAGTTCAAAACTTCTTCCTCCCTAAACTAATGAAATAGTTTCGAACCTTTCCCAAATAACAATATAAAAAAAATTAAAAGAAAAGTTAGACCTTGGAAAGGGGCTATTTTTAACAGCCTTCTGACCATATTTCCGCCAACGGTAGCCATCCTCAAGATGATCAACTTCACTCTTTGTTATGAATGCGAATCTTGGCTGCCGGATTCTCTTCGGCCCCTTCATTTTAACCTTACTCCTACAAAATATTTTACCTACAATTATCACAACAAAAACAATAGCTTGAAAAATCCAAAGAAAAAAGGCAAAACATAAGTGAATTTTATTTCCTATATATTGGAAATTAAACGGAAATGTTATATAAAGTACTACTACATATTCATGCATGTTTAGTTTCTAATTAATGTGATCCAACTAAAACTAATACCAATGAAAGAGTAGTGCTCTATTAATTAAGTCTCAATTACCACTGAAAACTAATATGCAAGTGTATTATGTGTGTGTGTGTGTGTATATCATGCATTATGTTTTACGTTAATTAAATCTAAAATGCAAGTGTATTTGTAGTTGTTAAATACTAGAGTTTTTGGAAATACAACAACATACTTATTTTAACAATTACTGATGACAAATTTGATACCAAATTAGTTTGCTCATTGTATGGTTTAACCGAACTACCCATCTTCCATTGTGTAAAAATATATCAATGTACTAAAAAAAAAAAAAACAATTAGTGCACATCAGGAGGAGGGATGGCAGAGTATAGGACCAAATTAACCTTAAATTGTCAGGGAATAAACCATTAATTCTTATCAAAATTACATTAAATCTCAAATTCAAAACAGTACTTTACATGCATTAGTAAATGGTTCAACATGGTCGGCGACTATAAGTGAGATGGTGCATGTAATTTTGAAATTTTCAGTGTGTCAGGAACACGGCCAAGTCATAAAATCAATGGTTGAATTTTTTTTTTTCTCCAAGTATTCAATCATTTATATTGTTTAACCACTTGTATTGTGATATTTGTTGTACCGACCCATATTCCCGACACATTGTAAAATCTCTCTGTGTAATTATAAACCCCTATTATTAGGAAGAAATCCAAAAATATGCACCACAAATTAAAGAAGAATCCAGAATTATCATCACCCAACTCTCTCTTTATTATGGTAGTGCAACTTAAGAGACAAGTATGTCACATGCATCGATCACTTGCTCACGAAAATGCTACTGCACTAGTCGCAATAATAACGAAACAAATCAATATTAAAATATTAAAAAACCCTACAACAAATAAAGCAAGCATATAATTACATTATTGTTCCTAATTAAACCCAAATCATTTACAAACAATCATATAATAAAAACTCGCTTTATTTCCACCATATTCTCCCTCTTTTTTCCCCGCACGCGTTTACCTAAAAGTGCGAATTTTAGCACGCCATCCCGCCGCTGTTACGGCGGTGTTCGCGTCCATAAAATTAGAAACTTGAAAAGCCCTTCAATCTCGGTTAAATTTGCTTTGCCACGCCCTAAATCTCTGTGGATTTACGAAAATGCCACCCCAACTTGCATGAAGTGGAGCTTCTTCTAGTTTCTTACTTTCTACAGCGTACGGACGCACACCCCAATTGCAGATTTTGCATTCCCTTCTTGATATTTTTCATTTTTCACCGTTGAACTATTTATTTTGTTAAAAGATCCCCTCCCACAGTTTTAGCCCACGAAAAAGCAAGTTAATCACGCATTAAGCCATCATTAATCAATAATACTCAATCATGGAAACCCAACTCACGGTATCTCGGGCGGTGGTTTGCCACCGGAGCCTGTAGACCTCTCAGGCGGATCCTCGCTGGAGCTCGTAGACGCTGACGGATTGGTCGAAGCGGATCCGACAACAGGGGCCGGGTCGGGGCTCCCAAAGGCGGCGCTGCTGCTGCTGCTGTTGTTCTCCAAAACAAGAGGACCACTACTAGTAGTTCCCGCCAAATCGGACGTGTCGGCGGCGGCGGCGATGGGGTCGAGGCAGGGGAAGCAGTCATCGGGTTTGGAGGCGTCCGGGTTGAAAATCCAGCCGAACTCGCTGAGTATGTTGTTGTCTCTGTCGTGGGTATTGAAGAAGTAGGCGCTGTCCGAGTCGGGAGTCCAGGTGGACTGAGTCGTGAACTCGGTCGTGGTTAGTGGATGTCGTTTTTCGTTGTCGTCGTCCATGAGAATCGATCAGGACGATCCGCCGTGAAGTGGTGGATTGTAATCGGCCGTGAGAATTGAGCATGAATTTGAAGGACGAGGGAGAGAGAGAGAGAGAGAGAGAGAGAAGAAAAAAAAAAAGAGATAAAATTAGGGTTTTGGTGAGTGAGTGTTGGAAAGGACGCGTAGTTTATGAACTTTATCAAGAAGGGATGGAAAGCTTAGTCTCGTCAATGCACAGTGGCAATATTTGGAGAGAGAGAGAGAGAGAGAGAGAGAGAGAGAGAGAGAGAGAGAGAGAGAGAGAGAGGGGGGGAGAGAGGGAGAGAGGGAGAGAGAGAATTGGAAAAAAGGAATCAAATGGAGAAGAGAGAAGGTAGGGAGGGAAGAGAGAAAAGATAAGTTAGAAAAATCGCCGTCAACCTTTCAAATATAGTACGGGAGGCTCGTATTAAGCAAAGCCAAGGGGAGACCGGGGCAAATGGCCCCTCACGCGTTTATACAAAAAAAAGAAGAAAAAAGAAGCCTATTTTGCATATCAGCCGGCTAAGAGTCTTCATTCTTGTATTCGTTTGAATTTCTCTCTAAACATTGCTTGTATCTGAACAATGAAGACAATTAATGCTCATGTCTACTTATTCGGTGCACTTCATTGTCCACTCAATTGTTAGCAACATACTTTTATCGTACAAATATATTAAGGAGAACCATTTATTTTTTTAATAATAATTTAAATATCATCTTTTGCTAAAAACCAATAAAAAAAACTATTTAACGATCCTTGTGTATCCAACGGTTTTGATACTTCAACCTTATTACTACATATGAGTGACAAAAAAAATCGCCGGTTCATTTGATATTTGGCATATGAACTTTAAATAGTTATTCAGGAATAAATAGTTTTGACTACAAGATTTTTCCAATAAAAATATGTTAATTACAATTAGATGTATTTTTCCGTGAAAAGTAGTACTAGATAGACCAAAATTTTAAATTAAATTTGTGTACTATGTGATGTGTTATAAGTAAAAAACAAACATATTAATTAACACTTAAGTACCAATCTAACCATAAACACATCATATGATTTACAAAATTTAATTTAAATAGTTGATTTTTCTAGTATTACTCTTATGTTAATTACAGTGAGATGTACTTTCCTTCAATTTCTTTATATTCATGTCTTTTGGCTACGGAATTAATGCATCATGTGTGTGTGTATTATTGCATGGGTCAGATGTTGATTGAGTAACTTAATCGAAGAATAGTAGCATGGTACTTTGTGAATGCTACCCTTTATGCGTGTGTATGTGTGTGTGCGCGCATATATATATATTGAAGATATATCATCATGTGGCCGGTTCATGTGGTGGTGAAGGATTTTCGTCATTATATTCATCATTTTATTTTCAAGTTTATTGTAGAATCCCAAACTCGATTTTTTTTCAATATATGTGTTTAATTAACGATGTTGATTACATGTACGACTGTTGCAATGACTTGGACAATTCTCCAATGCTCAACATTCATGGCTTTAGTTAACCATGTTGCTTGAGTTGTAACATCATGTTCATACCAATAATTGTGAGAACATTAACACGTGTAACATATAAAAAAAAATCCATCTATGGTACGATTAAGTTTGAATTCGTTTTGTTCTCTTCTTTGTGGGCTTTTTCTATGATACAAGACTATAACGTAATTCTCAGAGAAATTAATTTTAGGAGATGGATATGTTGCACAACTTTTTACACATGTTTTTCGTGGGGTTCTTTGTAATATGTATTTCAACGATCTGAATCGTCTATCTTTTAGGTCTTCCCACAAAGTCCATATCTACCAAAAATTACTCAAATCTGAAATCATATGACATTGGACTAAAGGTTTAGGGTTTCTTTGTAGAATTGTATTCATCAATTTTCTTCATTACAAATGAATGCATTAATTGTTCTAGATTTGTCTAATTTTGCAATGATGATCTATAAATGATGTTGTGAAAGGTAGATGGTCTGAATTATTAACATACATTACGGAATGGGCCCAACAAAAATGTGTATAAAAAATTATGTAAAAAAACGGTGTCTTGGATCCACTCCTAGTTCTATATTTGTTCATAGAGAACAAGTTTTCTTTTCTCACAAATCTCACCAATGTTTGCCATGTAAATGCTATATCTAGATACGAAGATAACTCTTTGTTAACCAAAGAGAAATAAACAACCATTTGACAACGATAAACTAACTATTATGTCATTATTACTCTAAATCAATTTATATATAATTTGATTTACCCACCTTCCTCTATCCAACACCCCTAACTTCTCTCTCAAGCTCTCCATGCTTGCGGTAACTAACTCACATTCATAGCGTAACTTTTTTTTTTTTTTTTTTTTTTTTTTTTTTTTTTTTTGTGAAATTCATAGCGTAATTTTTCTCCTTAGTAAAGTTCGTCATAATCAATCTATGCATCACGCGGGTAAATGCTAGATACACATGACTAGATTAGAGCGATGAAGTATTGCTATCAACTTTCATAAACCGTAGTTAATTAAAATTAAAGTCAATGAATCATATCAGAAGGTGTTGAAATCAAACGAGTATGGTTCAGTTGTCAAATTAAGTTTCAACAAACAATGTATCCATTTGACCAAAAAAATAAAATAAACAAACCAACAATATTTGCCTACAGGTGATAAGGGGATGAACACTTAACCAAGTTCATCATCCCCTTTTACCTTAATTTCTTTGTCGTGTCCTTTTTTTTTTTACAAATAATAAATCAAATATATTTATCTTGGAGGATATTATTTTCCTCAAAAAAAAAAAAAAAAATCTTGGAGGATATTATTTTATTTTGTTTTGGAGGATATTAATCATATTATTACCCAAATTAAATATGGAACTTTAACGAAAAGCTCCCGGTACTTTTTATTTTAACGAAAAACCACATTTTTACACTAAAAAAAAATCAATTTTGGTACTATTTACTTTACCCTTTATTTTGTCCTTATCGTTAAAACTCAAAGTTTTCAAATAATTTTCATTAGTTTTCCTAATTAAATATTACACTCCCTCAATTGGGCAAGGCTTTTGAAAGGCTCCGGGGGGAGGGGGTGAGGAGAAGGAGAGGGACCCGGCTTCTCTGCCCTCCCAGTTCTCATACACTCCCATCCCCTCCTATTTTGTGCGATCACGGTTAAACTACGTCAACATTTTATATTGATTCTTTTTATAAAGATAATAAGACAAAAGACAATAGTGATATAAAATGTTAACGTGACTTAACCGTAACTGCACAAATAAGAGGGGATGAGAGTGTATGAGAACCGGAGGGCAGAGAAGCCAGATCCGAAGGGGAGACTAATATCCAAATCTTTTTAATTGATATAAAAACTATTTGAGCCTCGTGCAAGTAAGCAAGCACGTCGTTTCAACCGATTTTTACAAAATAAAAAATAATAGACCATGTATTGTTAAAGGGATTTGGAACCTCTCCTGAGCTCAGGAGGTTAAGTCTTCTGAGCAAAGTACATAAACCGTTAGATTCTGATCCAACAATTACAAACAAAAGATTTTTTAAAAATTATAATAATTGTAACTGTTGAATTAAAATTCAACGATATGTATGTTTTACTTAGGAAGTTCAGCCTCTTAAACTCAGGTGATGATGCAAATCCTTGTTAAAGGGCAACCATTGTAAAAAAAAAATTTGGTCAAATATAAAGAACTGCTAACTTTGAAAATCTTTGTGGATAGTATATTTCGGAACACTATAATATTTTTATTTTTTTAGCAATCGATGATCTGTAAGACCTACGTATGAGTGTGAGAATGACTTAATTACATAAAATAAACTTACTGTCGCATGACGTTCAATTTATGTAAGTTGCTCTGTCAAGATACGATATAAATTAATATACTATGTATTTTGTTAGAAGGGTGAGTGTGGAGACTGCGTACCCCAGGGACCCACATGTCATTTCACAAGATTTTATAGAGATACGTTGGGGTAATTGGATCGATTGTTGCAAGATACAAGTTGAAATGGAAATTTCAATTTAAAAAGAAAAAATTTCCGTTCTGAGTGAATATTGCTGATTCCAAAAATTTGGATGACACTTGAAATGTACCTAACTAATCCGATTTGTCATGCTTAGTACTATAAAATATCATACATACCTTTATTTTTTCATGTTTATTATTATATTTAGAAATGTCTTATTTTGTATTTTGTATATTTAATCATACTATTGTAGGACTCCATATAATCGCCTGCCCAAAAACATTAGGGTCCCTCCTAGACGTGGGTGACTCAAAAATTGTGTTTTTTACACATTCCACCGGGTAGAAGCGATTAGTAAGTGTTTAATTTGTCATTAATGAATATTTGGTGTAGTAATGTTAAGCATTTATCTTGTTGGAGAAAATATAGTGTTACACTTTTTATAAGTTTCTGCTCTTAGATACGACTTTCATAGATAACGAGTTCGATACCAAATTATTGAGGTTGATTATCGTATGTTTATTCGAAATCCTTTGGTATTCAGTATAAATCTGTAGTTATTTTGTGAACTTTAACTTGAAAAGTTACCTCAATATGTATGGAAATTGGAGAGAATATATGCGTTATGATTTCATGGTTGAATTAAAGTCTAACCTCGGAATCCAAAAATTTGTAATGTCATCATCAGAGTGGTTGCGGTTTCCTCCTCAGCATACAGTTGAGAACAGTGAGGAGCCTCTCCCCGTCCCTTGTTTTGGATCCACCGGTTCTCTTATTTGATTATTATTACAAATCTCATATCAATTATTATCTTGATAAAATAATATTATGTATTAATTAAATACAATAAGAGATCAATACCTTGCAAATTAATCTTTGAATTATTGGTTCTCTATGATGTCTATACTAGCATATATACAGGGCAGGATGGGTCCAAACTAACAGTATCACCGGCACAACCGGTGAAGAAAGCTTCTTTCTCACACGAACTCCAAAAAATAAAAAAACATGAATTATTATGTATTTTGATCTCATTCAATTTTACGCAAAATTTTATCCAACGTAAAAGCTGCTTCAATAAACAGTAAGATTGCCAACTTGCCATATCGATGATTTACTCCTAACCCATGATCCAGAAAGCTATTCTATTTGAATGCGTTTGCACAGTGCACTTGATTGCGCTGCATTATGTTGAACTTTAAAGAAGAAAAAAAAATAAAACGAGAGTGACTCACTAAAAGCCTAAAACATTATTTCTTCAACAGTTCACTAA